GGTAGTCCAACTCTTCAAAAATATTTTGAAGACCATCCATCTTCAGAGACTTCTGGTAACAAGAAGTTTTACTATTTTTTGTAAAAATAAGCCATAAGATATGTTTGTTAAGCCTCTGGTAGGCTAAAAATACCTATTTGCTTTGTTTTTAAAAATCCAAACTCAACTAAGTTGGCCATCCTCTGGTGACATCCTCATATCACTGCTATTATCTCTATGGCCCTTGGAGGCCAAAGAACTTTTTTCAAAAAGGCAGACCTGGGCTGTAAAAAGTGGGCTGCCTAGCCTGTAGCCATGGGTCAGACAGGGAAGGAATTATCTCTAAAAGACCAGATAGGTTCCCCCGCAACTTTTTTGGGGTCTCTCTCCTTGACCTTTCATGCAGGCTACAAACTCTTTGCCTGCTTCTGCTTCAGAGCCTGCCCAGTCTCATACCAGCCTGCCCACATCTTACATACTAATGGAGAGGCTCTTCCTTGTGCTAGTTGAGGTGGACAGTATCCTGACTGATGTGAATAAGACTTGCCATACCACAAACTCAACTTGCACACTATTCCTAATGAACACTGCCCTCATCAACCTACAGTTGGCAAATATGGTCAGGAGCTCACAATCACCAGCTGAATCCCAGCTGGGAGGAAGCAGTACGGCAGGGAGTTTAGCCTCTCCAGCTCAGGAATAAAGGATAGAAGACACAGTCATTTCTCCAGATGCAGAGGTATGGGGAAAAAAAGAAAATCATATTCCTAAGATCTCAGGGGAGTTGGCATTTTTTACTGCAAAACATAGCACTTACTTGGTATCATTATTATGCAAATATACAACATAGACCTGGAATATGGTCCCACATAGTACAGCTTGACAATAGAAAGACTCTTTTTCTGATCACATTAAAATGTGGGACTGCCTATTTTGAGAGACCCTCCTTAATAGTCTTTCACTAGCTGATGAAAGCCTTCTTAATTAGGAAGACATTTGTTTTAAGAGCATGTAAAATTTAATTGATGTCTTATTTTTGCTACATTCTATTTTTCCTGGAATGATTATTCCAATTGGTTTTAATTGTTGTCAGCTGTCCGAAGAGGAGTACCAACCCCACTACATAAGGGGAGAGTGGTGGTTAGTGGATTACTAAAGAAGAAAATTTAAATGGAGGGAGAATAATAAAAAGCCAGATGGTGAAGTGGATACAACTTTAGGTAAATTGGGAAGGGAAGCAGTTACTGCAGCAGCCATGGTTGGATTGCATCTTCATCCTCCTTACTTTTGTGTTCTTGGTAGGGAGAAAAGATGTTTACCCTTAGTGTGGACAATTTCTGGAGACTAGCTGCTAAGAATTTTTGACAAAACATTGCTGCTGTATAACACACACACGTACACACACACGAAGGGAAAAGTGAAGGAATACGAAGGCATAGGAAAATGAACAATTTAGAAGTTTCAGTAATGTGTGAAAGCAGCTTGCTAATTGCACACTATGTTTTCTGCCTTGCTCTTCACATAGCTTGTACATTATGCTCATCAGCACAATGCAAATTCTGGGTGAAAAAAGGTTGGGAGCAATCCTGCCCATGTGGCTGGGCAAAACTCATCAATAAAAGTGTGGCCCCTAAGAAGCAAAGAAACTCCCATGTCAACATCATGGAGGGACTGAGCCATCAGTTTTCAGCAATTGTGGTAAGATAGGGCTCTCTGTGAAAGAGAGCTGGAACAACCCCCCTGCATAAATCAAGGAGGCATGGAAGCATTTTGCAGGCTGCTCAATTTGCAAGAATTAAAGATTTTCACTTGGCTCAACTTAGATTTTGCTTCACCATTTTTCTCTGGAAAAGCATATCCTTCTACTGTACTCCCTTTACTCTGTGAATGACCAATCAGATGCCACAAGGAGGCAGTATGGCACAGCACTTGTATGGGCTGGAGGATGACCTTGGTTTGTGGGCATCCAAACAGTGCCTACAGGAACAGAGAAAGCTGCCTTATACTAATCCAGACCATTGGGCCATTTAGCTCAGTATGGTCTACAGTGACTGGCAGCAGCTTTGCAAGACTGCAGGGTTTCCAAGCCCTATCTTGGACGTGGAATTGAACCAGGAGCTGTTGAATACAACACAGGTGCCTTACTGTGAACGGCATCCCTTCCCATTCCAATCTGAAGCCTCTGGCTGAAACACTGAATACTGTAGTGTGCAATCAGCTACCTTCAGCTGGGAGAGGACACTGAAGGTTCCAGAAAAATGCTCTTTTGAGTTGAGCCTCTCTTATTATTCCCCTCCATCCAAGGAGCTTGGGAAAAGTTTTACAGAGCCTGAGAGCATAACTTTAAATTACAGTTCAGAGAAGGATACAGAACAAGGTGGGATGGCTACGAAATAAGCCCAGAAACAAAGCATCCATACCAGCTTTCAGACCAGGAAACTCTGAAGCAAAAATGTAGAGCAGCAAGATTAGAAAAGATTGGCCAGGCACCTTGTCCAGGACCCTCTGCCTCCCATGCTGCTGCCACAGGTTCACAAGAACAGCTACAACTGAGAAAGGGAGCTCCAAGTGGCTGAAGCAAGGAAACCAAGCCACATCAAGGTTTTATAGGGGAAATGACATAGAAAACCATCTGTCCAGTGTAGAATGCAAGCAAACTCCATCCAGCTTATAAACACTGGGCACTGTTCCTTATAGCAGTCTTTTAAAGGTTAAGTAAGAGGTATTATATTATAATTGTACTGTGCCAGATTTGATTGCTTAGTTCAGGAAATAATGTGAACTTCAGCCTTCTTCAACTCTAGTTCCTGGTGCTCTCCCCTCTTCGCTCCATTCTAACTCTTTCAATCCTGCTGTTTTCCTGTTCCTATCTTCCTCATTCTACTCACCCACTCACTCACTTCTTTTAGTCTCCTGTCTTTCCTTTATGGTTTTTACTTTCCTCCTCCCTATTATCAAGGTACTTAACCAATGTCAGTTGGAGAACACTGCTCCATTAAAAGCCTAATTACTGCTACAAAATCTCTTTGCTAATTTCAGTAATACATTGATAATCTGTATTATATTTCTGATAATCTATCAATAATCAGTTGACTTTCAGACATCATCCATTGTTCAAGATATGTAGCAGCTGAAATCTAGCCCACTGAGAGCTGCCAAGCAGCAAAATATCTCTAATGTTGACCAGGCAGTATCTCAAGACCCTGCAAAGTTTTGGTGGGACAACTGCATTATTTAAAACATCTTTGTTCTAGTAATTAGACAGCAGGTTAGTAATTAGCAATTAGACTACCAATTAGACACTGTAGGGTGGGAAAAATGCAATCCTTCCCAGCAATAATGCTCCTTCCCAAATACAGGTTCTAACCTTAGTCTAATCACTCCTCTTATCCAGAAGTTGGCTGGGAATTCTGAGAGTTGCAGTCACAACACCATCTGAAAACTGCCAAATCAGGAAGGCTGTTCCAATTCAACCAAGACCTTCTCATTGCACTGAACCACAGCACAATCATGGCCTGACAATATATTTTTTTTATTCAACTAAGACCTTCTCAATTGCATTGGACCACAGCACAATCATGGCCTAACAATTTTTTTTTTTTTTTGCTGTGTCCCCATCTCATCCCCAGTCCATGAGTGAGACAGCCTTAATTCGTCCTCTGCTATACTGGGGTTAAAAGTAGTATATTCCCCCTTATTCTGAAATAACCAAAGGCAGCCTTGAAGTATATAAGATCTGTGAGGGGGCAGAAGAAAAGGTGTCCCAGGAGAGAGGAAAGGAAGTGAAAAGAGCAAGCATCGAGGCACATAATGGGTTCAAGAGGATACGGGATCTCTGAATCCCTTATGGCTGCAGGTAGGGGGAGAAAAAAACTCTGTTGATGGGACATGCAGCACAGTCAAGTACCAACATTAGGCCCAGACATCCCTGTTCCACCATGCAAAGGAATGGCGAATGTTGCAAAGTAGCTTTCTTTTTTCCACCTGATTACATTATGACCACTGTCAAGGGAAATGACTTAGTAAGGAGCACACTCAAGTCCACTGCTGTTTTATCTTCATCAGAGAAGCCCTGGAAGACATCAGCCAGGCTTTCCAGGAACATCATGTGAGGGCTGGAGCAGCTGTACCCAAATTTCACTCTGCAAGGTTAAATGAACACACACATCCACTGATTAAGTTGTGGTGAGAAACACTAATTTAGGGAGTTTTGAAAAGGGGGTTCCACAAACTCATGGAGAGAGGTAACTGACCTATCAAAATCTATTATCCACAAAAGCTAAGTTAGAAGATTCAGAAGCAATATTCTGAAAATCTGAGCACTTGTGTTAATAAGTAAGAGTGGATGGGCAAAGATATTGAACTGGCTAATGTTAGAAACAGAATCCTTGGCTTCTGTTGGAGCATAACCTATGCCATCTCTCCTAGGTGGCATTTTTTTTTTTAGAAAACAGCAGAAAAAGAACTCTGGGATATTCTGGCAGTTATTTTGGCTATAAATATGCAATATGTGAATGACAGATTTAAAGATAGAAAGATTCAAAGAAATTCAAGCCTAATAGCCCTTTTCAATCTGACACATTCCAGGAGGGTTGGACTGCAGTTTCCATATAACCTGGGCAATATATATGGTAGTAGGGTAACATAATGACAATAACAACAATAATTAAATTTATATGCCACCTGATTCCTAGCAACGCTGGGCAGTTAAGAGCCTCCTTATCTAAGAGCCTCCCCCCTCAATGCCACTCCCCATTCAAGGATATCTGCTCACTTTAATTATATATATAGCTATGCTGAATATTGTCCCATTTTAATTGAAGGATGAACACTGATTTTTCAAAGGAGAGGGAAGATTGTTTTTGTTTTGTTTAACATCCTGTTAACTATCCTTGTATTTCTCTTATTAGCTGGTACAGGATTAATTCCTCCTATTCTTTTTTTTTTTTTTGGTCTTCCTGGAATAGTCACCAGGAACAGAGCAATTGGGGATCACGTGGTAAATTAGGTGATGTCAGAGACAAACTGCAAAATGAATCTGGCTACATAATGTTGGTGAGTGCAAACAAAGCCAGATTGAAAGACAAATGCAAGAGAAGACAGTGCCAATGAAATAGACAAAAACAGAAAAAGTAGTTTTGGTTCAGTTCCAGTTAAATGCCAGCCTTCCTTGACCTCAGCCTTATGATTCTCAGAACATAAATGCTGTGTCCACTCTGAAGACTGCAGAGCATCATTTTCTCTAGGCCTTTGGTCAAACTGACCCAGGACATAACACTGACTGCTTTACGATCTCTGAACGCAGAGGAACTCCAGAATGACATGATGAAATCTAATTATTTACAAGGCCGTTTAACTAAATTAATGTCTATAAAGACATAGCAGAAAACAGCAATTAGGGCAGGAGCTATATTTTGACAGAGGAGCCAGCTCACTTAGTGCCAATTATATTGATGTAACTGATGATGTGAAGGTAGGAGAATAGAAAATTTTCATTCTGCTTCTGAATTCATTTCACAGTCGGTGCAAAAAGCAACAACACTAATTGTTTTAAAGATTCTAATTATATCTGACATTTTATATATTTAATCAGCAGAACTTTCATATGAACCAAAGTAGGAGGAAAATATTTATCTCCGAGCAAAGAAACAGAATGTGCAACCATCAGCCTTTCAATTGTCAAGTACAAGCACCTATAAAATCTAGTTTGTAGGGCATACAACATCCAAAGAATTAATCAACAAGAGATTTTTCTTCCTCCTGCTGAGAATCACAGATGTCCTCAGCTTCCCTAAAAATCAGCAGGGAGAGGGCACTTGGTTTATTCCATAGGCTGCTGGATTCTTGGGGTCATCACTCTCTCTTGTTCTAGTTTTTTCCTGAGCAGTTAACACATTCCCATGCTTCCGTCATGAGATCGTTGTTCCACTTTCATAGACCTCAACTGCTAAATTGGTAATTGGTACATAAGCAAATATCTTAGTGGAAACACGGTCAGTCTTTGCTACAGCATATAAAGTATCCACACACCAAAGAACAGATTGTCTAAAATTACCCAGGATACAGAAAGATGGCCATAAATTTTATTTCTACAGCCATAGGGTTTGATTACACATGGCTAATTTCTATGAGCTTATTGTGTATGTGCAGTCCTTGCAAACTGATTATTTATTAGTGCATACATATCCCACCTTTTCTTTGAGGGCACAAGACGGCATATGTGGAGCCCCCCTAAGTTTATCCCCACAACAATTTGGTTTGCCAGGCTTGTCATGGTAAAAGTATGAAGAAAAAATTTCTAATGTTTAGGTTTACAGAGTTGGGGTGGGGGGAGCATTTTGGGAACTGTGTGTCAATTCCAATTGTTTTCCATCTCTATGAAGTATGCTCTTTGCCTCTCTTTTCACAAGAATTGGGGGGAGATTCTTCTGACATGACTAAACACTGCACACTCCCCATCCCTCTTTTCTGCAAAAGAGGGAGAAGGGAGAGGGAAGAACCTACAACTACTAATTAGTTGATGGTCTTTGGACCCCTTTTGCTGAGCTGAAGCTAGAATATTCTTACTAACAGGGAAGGCAATGGAAGGAATTATTTTGAAATCAGAAAGAAGCATTTGCCTTTCCCCATTCAAAAAAGCTGAAGAACTTAACTACCATATTTTCCCCTTTGTCTGGAAGGGAAAATTCTGATTTAAACTGAGCCTTTTATGGGAGAAGGAGTGAGCAAAGGGGCCTCTTATCTGAGCCCCACAGAAAAAGGGGATCCCATACAAAGTTTGGATCCCATCCAAAGTATGGCTTAGTATGTAAAATGATCAGATAGAAGGCAGTAACATGAATCAGTTAATGTATAGCTCCAAGAATTATTTCAGTATGTTAGGTTCCTTCCATGTTTCTGCTGTTGCTTTTAATGAACACAAATGGGGTTTTAAAGAGGGGGAGCACAAAAAACATTCTGCTGCTGACCCTCTCAAGAGACTTAAAAAGTTCAGTGTTTATGTCTCCAGATGAGTTGAAGCTCCAGATGAAACAGAGGGGGAACTCAATCCTTTGCTAAGCTCCTCCTCCTGGAAAGGATTTATCGGATAAATCAGGGTATTTATCAATCCCCTGGACCATCCCCTCCATTCCTATCTGGTGGCTTTATGTTAAGAAGTTTCTTTTAGTTTTGCACAGAACAATAAGTATTGCCTAAACCAATCCCAGCAGTGCAGTATCTAAACATTTTATCCTCAACAGTGACATTTTGTTTTACAGAGGGTTAGGGTTTATGTTTCATTTTAAAAGCTATTGTGATACATATATCTGTGCTGAGAAAATTCCCTGTAGGAACCTCAGAAAGCCAGAGGCACTAAAAAAGAATCAGCCAATTCAGCCTGAGCCACCTGTGGCCACAGCTGAAAATAGAACTTTTTCTACATTCCCATTTATATGAAATGTCACTATTTAGTACTGTTGCTATTTGTTCTGTTTATTAATCTGTCATTTTTAATCCAGAAATGCTTCACAATTCGTACTTCTTTCACAATAATAGCCTACAGGGCAAGCTGCTGTTATCCCCACTTCTCAGGTGGAAATGCACATGGAGAGAGAATGGTTTACCAAAAGGTGTATCTCATTTCCTTTCTCACAAAATGTCACAGAAAGTTTATTTCCTAGTTCACTGAAATACGTACTATGATAATTAAGAAGGAACGGAACTCACTTTGCCATGAGGGAGAAGGCTTCAGAGCAAACAGCTGGACAGGAAACAAGTCGGATTACGATATGGCCGAGTGAGGAAGGGAAATGGGCCTGTGTCACTTTCTCAAATACAGATGCGAAGGTGTTGATGTCAGCCATCTTGCTGCTGGGCTCCCCTGCTCCTGTGTCTAGGATGTTGCCCCCATGAAGAACAAGAATCAGGACGTGCGTTCTGCAATTCTGCAATTGACTTCCTTCCTGGAGAGGGAAAGAAAAAGAAACAAATGTTCTATCTGGAAAATTAGAGATTTGAGGAGAAGCTTTGTTTTATGCTACATTTATGAGAGAAAGAGCAAAGCTCTATTATAGTCAATAGCTACAGGTTATTCATGGACATTAACCCAAGAAAAAGTGGAGGATGGGAAATATGGTCGTTGCGGAGAGTAATTTATTATTTTCTAGTGCATCTTGCCACATTAGAAAAAGCTCAAGTCTACAGAGTAAAAGATAATTTGAAACCATCATTAAAATTTTTATTGTGTGTTGCCTAGAGTCACTTTTCTGTGAAATAGGTGGCTGTATAAATATGAGAAATAAATAAATAAAATAAAACTTTAAAAATTATCATTAAAACCATGGACGGTCTCTCTGCTCTGCTTTCTCAGGAAGAGAATCAAATCCCAATACATGGATGAAGGTTGTGATTTACAGCAGTTAACTAAACAACAGCCCAGCAAATGTAATTTTGGAGCCAAAGATAGTTTTGACTACTGAGAACCGAAAGATTCTGTTTTCCCCCAATGCATTATAACATCTGAGACTTCAGAGCATGTTCACGGCAGAATCTGAGTACTGCATTGCTGTGGGTGCAGGAGCTGCCTGAAGCATGTTCCAGGTAGTACCTCACCTCACTGTCCTCATGGATTTCAATGCTGCCCTGTGCAGGATAGCGATGTTTCCTCAGAGAGGCTCTGTACAGCTCCCCTGAAAGACAAACGAAGAGGAGTATTACAACAACCAACACTTTTGCTTCTGACATCCCAATTACCGACAGCTGCGAAACGGATTGCTGCATTATTGATATGAATCTCAAGCCAAGACCTAAAGAGCCATGCTTCTGTAATTCTGTGACACCTCAGCCAGTGGATTGACTGTGCTTCCAGGGCTCCTACTTCCACTCAACGGTAATCAGTAGCTATTCTGTCTTGTCCTCAATGGAGTTCTTGTAGAAAGAAAAAACCCATTGGAAAATGCTAGTGGTTTTTGAGTGGAAGACTTTCTCTGGGCTATTCATGAGTGCTTATGTTTATGGAACAGCATTTTATTTATTCATTAGATATATTTGTTTTGTTCAGTCGTTAAGTCGTGTCCGACTCTTCGTGACCCCATGAACCATACCGCAC